AATTAAAATCAAGAGAAAGGGCTAAGATTTGATTTCTAGAACATTTCAGAGTCTTCGATTAAATAAAACTACTGTGGGAAATCTCCATCGCCAAATAGTAAGTTAAATACGGATAAAGTAATTCAAATAAACGATTAGGTTTAAATCTTACAATGTCACCCCCATCCTGTGATTGACCCATCACGGGACAAACTCGAAAACAACAATGACTTTTGAACTTGACCTTTCCTCAGATTTGTAACTTTTTATCACCCAAAAAATACGATATAAAAGCAGCCGAAGGAAAGGGTTGAAAAAGCAATCAGCCTAAGTGACAATAGGCCGAACCATGACTAAACTTGGTAAGTCTCTCTCCATCTATTCTAAAAAGCACGTAAGAATTAATGTATAAATAAGTTGAATTAATTGTATATTCTAATTCTAAAATAATCCTGTTAATTGTTAAATTTTTGTTCAATACAGTTATGTTATTTAAATAATAAAATGTTACTAGTTAAAAGCAAGACTTCTATTTATCCTTTATTTAAAATTATTCAAAAACGCCACATAATTTTAGAATATGAATAATGTAAGATAATTGCGAAATTACAAATGACTAGAGTAAAATTAGAGATGACTAGAGTAATCACTTATAAAAAAACATATGTCTTATAAAATAACAGATTCAATTGAGATTTTGATAAAATGACTAATTTCTAAAAAACAACTTGAAAATGAATAATGATATAAAATTGATTAGAAAATAAAATCATAAGGAAATGATTGTATTAGTGTTAGATTTTTCTGGTTTTCAGATGGTATCTAATATTAGGTACTACTTACTTCTTGGGCTTTGTTAAAGTCTCATGGTATCATTTTATTGCATTGCGATTAATTTTCACAATCGCTCAGACTTGAAATTTTACAAAGAATAAGGTAGATAGTTATAAAAAAAATTGTAAAGTTTTTCTTTTTGGTTTGTTTTAAATTACTAGAGTTTATCAGTCGTCTTCAATACAACATATTAATAAAAATGCCTTTGTCTTAATAATTATGACAAAGCAGGTTTTTTAAAACTATGGCAGCTAACACTAGAAAATATCCGTGAAAATTTAGTATTAATGTTTGACCACATTTTTCTAATGGTTCTTTTGAAAGTAATACAAAGAGGTACAGGATCACCCAGAATAACTTTTGATCTAATGATCAAATTTCAAGTTCTAGGACTTAATCTTAACGGTTGGAGGAAGGGATCTCAAATACGATAATTATTTTGTGCAGACGATATTTCAGGCTACGAAATCACACACAAAAAGTACTTTCTCTGAATAAACATACCTTTTTTTCGATGAATTCGGATCTCTGATTCCAAAGATATGGGGGATAGCTGCAATCTGGGAAATATGGTCTAAATAGTTTGGTCAAGAGAGCCGTCTAAAGTTTTGACCCCCTAATATTATCGTTTATCCAAAGAATTCTACGCAAAAAATAAATTTTAGTAAATATTTATTATTTTTATTATTTTATTTAATAATAGTAAAAAAAGTTTTGTATTGTAAGGTGAGCAATTTTTTATATAATTTTAAAGTATTTAACACTACTAGGCAAAATACAAAATTTGAGCAAAATTGGGCAAATATTAAAAAAGTCGTATAGTTAAAACTCGATTTCTCAGGAACTATTCAACCGATTTCACTCAAATTTTGTATTTTGCCATTCAAAATTAGATACTTAAAAACGATGTAAAGATTTTATACCTTACAATTCAAAATTATTTCGCCTGTGTTATTGAAAAAACAATAAATATTTATTAAAACTTATTTTTATATGTAAATATCCTAAGATGAATGAATTTTATAATTGTCTAGAAAAATTTTTCAATCTGGGTAAAAAATTGTCGAGATATGGCGCAATACGCCGAAAGTAAAATTAACATTAAGGGGTCAAAACTTTGGACCGCTATCCTGTCCAAATTATTATGACCATATTTCAAAGATTGCGGCTACTTCCTGTATTTTGGGATTAGAACTCCGAATTCGTAGAAAAGAGCTATGTTTATACAGAGAAATTACGTTTTTGTGCCTGATCTTGTAATTTATATCGTCTGCACTAAATAATTAGCATATTTGAAATCCCCCTTACAAACCCTTAAGATTGAGTCAGACAAAGTGAAGATCCCGTCATTAAATCAAAAATTATTCAGAGTGATCCGCTTTTTTTTCTGGTGCTCTGTATATTTACATATTGCATTTCTATGCATTAACTTTTTCTAGTTTTTGTTTTCGCTATTAAGTTAAGTTACAAGATGTTTATCAAAATTTATTATTTCGATCGGAATAATCTGTTTTTTTTTTTTAAATCTATTCTCTTGACTTAATTATTGGGGCAATATCTTTTAGAAAGCAGTTAACCATATCTTTACTAATTTCCAGCGTTTGAGTTTGCAACTGGAATTATCTTGCAAGAATAAGCGTATCTTAACTAAACCATTAAAAACAACAAAAAATAACATCTTAGATGGATATTATAAGTTAGTGCTTGAGTTTAGTTCAGTCGAAAAATGACTTTTTTCTTTTGATCACTATATAACTCAATTTTAAACTTTTTTATTGAATGGATCGTAGTTTGATCACGTCAAAAATTTCGTAATTCTGTTGCTATAACTAAAACTGTGAGAGTTAAATAAGCACTTATATCCCCATTTTTTAGGGCATAGCTTATAAAGAATTTATATGATAAACTTTATTCTGTTCTCTTAAATGGTATGCTCTCCAGAGGGTCATATGTAGGCAAAAGTATATTGTTATAACCTTTTATTAAAAGTACAGAAGTTAATACAAAATTATTCTACTTTTGCAACAGAGCTCGTGGGTCATAATTAACTTTACCCTCGTGATTAACAAGGTTATGACTATTAGAATATGTAAATGTATTTATCATATGTAGGCAAAGGTATATTGTAATAACCTTTTATTAAAAGTGCCGAAGTAAAAACAAAAAAATTCTACTTTTGCAACAGAGCTCGTGGGTCACAATTAACTTTACCCTCGTGATTAACAAGGTTATGACTATTAGAATATGTATATGGATATGTATTTATCATATGTAGGCAAAGGTATATTGTAATAACCTTTTATTAAAAGTGCCGAAGTAAATACAAAAAAATTCTACTTTTGCAACAGAGCTCGTGGGTCACAATTAACTTTACCCTCGTGATTAACAAGGTTATGACTATTAGAATATGTATATGTATTTATCATATGTAGGCAAACGTGTATTGTAATAACCTTTTATTGAAAGTGCCGAAGTAAATACAAAAAAATTCTACTTTTGCAACAGAGCTCGTGGGTCACAATTAACTTTACCCTCGTGATTAACAAGGTTATGACTATTAGGGCATATATATGTATTTATCATATATAGACAAAGGTATATTTTAATAACCTTTTATTAAAAGTGCCGAAGTAAATACAAAAAAATTCTACTTTTGCAACATAGCTCGTGGGTCATAATTAACTTTACTCTCGTGATTAACAAGGTTATGACTATTAGAATATGTGTAGAAGAATGATACTACATAATTATAGATTTGACAAAAAAAGTAATTCGTAGGAGCAATCTATCAATCTTACGAGAAGTGTAAAATATTTTTGTTTATATTTCTTTCGATCAGATGAATTATTTATGTTTACCAAGACGATGTATTGATGTTGACTTTCCGGTTTTGAAAATAGCATCATTTATTGAAGTCGTAGATAACAGTAAAATAAACTGTCCATAAAACCTTTTTTTCAATGACAATAAGGTTAGACGTCAATAAGAAAATCTTTTAACACATTATATTTGGGGTCTTGACACAGACTTATCTCGAAAAATAAAGAAAACTAGAGAAAAAAATTCATTTCAATATTTTCTTAAGCAGTTGTTTCCGATTGCAATAAAAAAAACGAATTTGTATTGACAGAAATATGATAATTTGTGCGGAAGTAAATAAATAACTGATTTGAAACATGCTTTATTCTTATTTATGAAAAGTGAAATTATTTATTTTCATTCGTCAATTATTTTGAAAGGTCACACTTTATATAATAAAATTATTTATTCTTATTTCTTGCAAGAAACGAGCCACTATAAAATGTCGTTCAAAAGCATTATAAGCTAATGGTAGTTGCAATTTAATATAATGGTAAAACTGTTTTTTATGCCAGGTTTTAAAATACACTGGTGGACAAAATTAAGAGATGGAAAGCATTTTCGCACATTTCTATGACGCTATATTCTTCTATGACGCACATTTCTATGATGCTATTTCTGGACGGTTATTGATATGGAGGGAACCTGGAATCCGATACCATCCCAGCAACATTATCGAAAGGGACCATTATGCTGGTGGAGGACTCATGGTTTGGACAGGGATCATGCAATATACCCGCACACCGCCCCATGTGTTTGACAATGGTTCCGTGAATGCCCAGAGGTACAGCCAGGAGGTCTGGGATGTTCTTGGGAGAGCTATTGCGATGCGCCAACCTCTCCCCAGAACTATTCTGCAGTTAAAAATTGCTCTGGTGGAAGAATGGGAGGATCTTCCATAAGTCCTCCTTAACTCCCTTATTAACAGCTTGCATACTCGTTGTGCATGCTGTCTGTGTGTCAGAGGTGACCATACACCATACTAGAGGCAACACACACTGTACAAGACACACTTTTATTGTCATCTTTTATCTTTAAGTTCAGACTACATTGGATTTATTGGCAATAGGTCTTGCCAGTGAATGACACTTTCATTTTTGCTTTGCATACTTTATTATCATGGAATAAGCTATATCTATACCAAATTTCATTTATTTATGTTCAGTATTTTTTGAGATATTTGAGAAAATGTCTTCCATCTCTTAATTTTGTCGACCAGTGTAGTTTAATGCTAATTTTAGGTATCTAGTTTAAATATTTATTATTCGATTTTCATGTGAATAAAATAAGTTGTAAAGAATATGCAAATTAAAATAATTTGTGGTCCTTAATTCATTTTTGACAAAATCATAACTGATTACCCCTTTTTGAACCATCCAAGGTTAATGGAAACATATGTCCCAAGATCCAAAGGTATCCCATTTATATTTCCCCCCAATTTTTGTCTTCAAGATTAACTTACAACACAATTTAATCAATTTATCTACACGGAAAAAAATTCTGGTTAAATCGCCGTATGGTTTGGTAATAACATTTCTGGAGAAAAAGAACCTTAATTTCGGCTAATGAATCTATTCAACCATTTATTCGGTAATTTTTCCGCTTACATGTAACGGTTCATCAAAAGTTCTTGTTTTCAAAGTTATAGTTCTTTTTACCACACATTTAT